TCCTATGGTAGCACGTGTGGCGGCTGTGACACTCCGGCGGTGGCTCATGGTGAATAGGGAGCACACAGGTAGTGGCGCATGGCAACTTCAGCAAGCAGGATCGCGTGTCCAAGGTAAAATTAGTTTTTTTTGTTGGGTTCGTTTCTAAAAATCTCTCATCATTTAATATGCGTGTTATGTATTTGTGAATGAGAAAATTAATCAAGTGGCAGTGAAGATTTATAGGAGAGTGTAGACTCAAGTCAATAAGGATTTTGACACTTTTTTCGACTCGACTATAGGTAGGAGATTGGATTTGTCTAATTCTAAGGCACTCATATTTTTATAAAGTTTTATTTTCTTTAAAATAAATTATTTATATATTTTATAAATTGTTTAAGTTTTATAACGTATTTTCAGTAAACTCATCATATGCTTGTATGTTATCGTCTGTGAGTGCTTCAGGAATATATATAATTAAGTGTGTAAAAGTGAGTTTATATATATGATGTCATATGTGTAAGCCTATATAAACATGATTTCTGTCTGTACATAATGAATATATGAGCATTAGAATATGTCTAAATGAATTATTCATAAATTAATGTAAATAAATTATATATGAGTCTATGTATGGGTGTAGTGTACATAGGTAAAAATGTATAAGTGTTGTGGTTATAGGAATTATCCTATAAATTCCGGTAAACTAAGAAAGTTATGTATGTATATATATAAAGCTACACATGTATATGTTGTGTGTATGTGTATGTATAAAACTATTTATATAAAGGGTGTGCATGTATATAGGTGTATTGAGTGATAGTTGAATAGTTATGAAAGTTAAACTTTGTACGAATATGTGTAAATAGCGTATACTTCTTATATGTGGATATATGTAAGCATTTTGGTTTTGTAAGTAGATGCGTTAGAGCGATGAGATTAATATGTAAAATAATAATGAATATTTAAAAGACATAAAAATCAGTTTAACCGATATCATCGAGGGGTGGGTGTGTGTGTAGCCTTTTGGCATATGACTGTAGTGAACCCTAACTGTAGATACGACTTTAGTTAGATATAGCGAAGCTATAAGAACTGTGAATTATATACTGTGTACTGCAAATGTGAACTGTAAATTGAATTGTAATGTATTCACGTGGTAGAGGGGATCCTTACTGCCCTCGTTGATGCTGACGGAAATGGCATCGTACTGTAAAACTATTTTTAATAAGATATAAATTAATAAGAAGGAATAAAAAGTTATGATTAAGTTTTATGATACTGAAATACTGAATTAATATCTACTTAACTGTTTACTGCTTAAATTGTGATACTGAATGCTTAATTATACTATTTATGAAACTATTTATGGCATGATTTATAATACTGAAATAAGGAATTCTGAGGGTTTACTGAATAAACTGATTTAGAAGATTTGGTGATTGAGTGTATGTATATATTTGTTATGGGTACTGCCCTTTTTTCTTACTAAGTCTGTGAAACTCACCCCAATTCACATCCCCAAATGCATATTAATATAGATCAGAAACAAGTTTAAGGTCGAATGAAGACTTTGAAGTACCCTTAGTGATAATAAGAGTTCGTTTTGTAAAGTTAGTTTAACTACATTATAGCGATACAATGTAAAGAATGATTTAATTTCATATAGAGAATGATTGAATATTAAGTTTTTGTTTATTACTACGTATATTTATCAAGTTATGTGTGTAAAATAATGTTCATTTCTCAATAGAGAAAGTAAATCATTACAAAGCTTGTAAGTGATGACAATCATAAACGACATAACTTCAAGTGTGGTATAAAAAGTGATCCTAAGGGTCATGATGTGCCAAACCCAGAGCAAAGAGAGAGTGTGTTAAGGTATAACATGTGTGTAACAACAACACTCCTCGAGCAACTCAAAGGCTAACGATGACAGTGCTTGATCAATGATGAAGAGACATACAAGAAAAATAAAAGGCAAATATGAATTTGATTATAAAATATGTTATTAGATTAATAATTCTCATTTCAAAAAGTTAAAAATTTAATTAGTATTTTTAATATCCATTTGACCATTGATGTTCGTATTTCTTTTTTCTTTTTAATAAAAAAATTATTAGTTAGTTGGTTTCCACCATGATATTGATGTTCCTTTTTTTAGGAAGTAGATTTTTATTCAAAATAAAAATATTATATACTAAAGGATCGTAAAATAATACGAGAGACCAAACTTATAAAATTATTATGAATGACTCATTTTGCTATTTATTGAGCAATAGGGTTTTGATTTCTGCTTTTTCTACTAATTTTGCTCTTCTATAAATTGGATATATATATATTTTTTAAATTGCGTAATGATCTCATCAATAAACTTATGTAGATAAATGGACCAATCTATAACTGGATCACATACAAGTCTTGAATTAGTTTTTCTTGACACTCAATACAAGCACATTTCTTTAGTTTTTCTTAAGCAAACATAATACTTGTTACTTTTATACATGGAAGATTGCTGTAGGGGACACGTAACGATCATCCATTGAACACTGCACCTTAAGGATTTCGAAGTAATATAATTGTGAAAGCTTGATAACTGGCGATGGCTATGTCACGATAGAAACATGCTTTCTAACAAAACTTAAACCAATTAGGGGCAAATACAACCTCTTTACATTATCCAACAACACTCAGAATATTATTTTTAAGTAAAAAGTATAAAAATCTCTCATTACTCAATACTAAGTTATCAACTTAGTGAAAATAAAATGCAAATAAAATAATTTTTTTTAACATATGATTGGTTATTTGGATTTTTTATTTCGCTTAGTTAAAAAGAGAGATGATAAGTTTTATAATCTTTTTATTTTGAAATTGAGAAAGATACAGGCCCCAATTTGTATAAAACCATATTACTTGATCAAAGTGATAATCAATAAAGATATATTTATAAATTTCTTCATCTTAATTATAAAATATACAATTTTTTCTTATGTTTTTTTACTCCCAAAAGACATTTGTTAATTATTATTCACAATAATACCTCGTACATTTCCTTGAATTTTTGAGTGCCAAACAGCTTCAAAAGGAATTGATCTTATAAGAAAGCTAAGGAGACATATTGCTTAAGATTTTTATAGCCATTATATGCACTCTCAACTTTATACCCGTCTATACAATTTTAGGATGAAGCCATCTGTCTTATAGTTCATAATTATAGATTTGTAATTTTTGAAATAACTTCTATAGTATCTTGACCAAAATAGAGGTTAATGAGATTCATGTTCTATATCCCGATTCTTGTATTGATTAACTAGTTGAGATTAGCGTGAATGATTAATTACTTATGGGGGTCTCATACTCTTCACAATTTGGTATTCAAGTATCAAATTAAATGCTTTTGACTTTTAACTTCCCTTCGAGATGATAGAGTCATAGCATTTAGTGTCGCTTAATAGTTAACGAGGAGATAAACACATGAATTTTGCTAAATTTATTATATGTTTAAAAATGATAACTATACATATCACGTGTAATGTCATGAAGTAAGTCTTGAATCGTAATAAATTATTGTAGCTTCAAAAATCTCAATACAAATTTTATATAACACGATTTATTAAAAAATTTCAAGTGAAAGAGTAATTGGTGTAACTTCTGGCCTCTAAGTGCAAATTAGGAACCAACATTGAATTCTATAATTATAATTAAAAAAATCTTAATTTTTCAACTACTTACAAAAATTATGAATTTATATTATGTTAACCAACCCTTAAATCCAATACAACACTAATTCCAATAATTATATTATTAATAAAAGTTTCATCGAATTTTAATATTAATTAAAAATTATAATAATATTTTATTTAAAATTGTTATTTTTTAAAATTTTATTTTATTTTTTCACAAAATTGCAAATACAAAACATCAAAGATTGAACGCAGAATATTTCATATGCTGGGCCTGTCACGTGTGTAAAATATATTATATAAGCACTGATATATTTTGTAAAACAAAAATTGGTGGCCGTCCATTTTCAATTTTATATTGGATGACTCCGAAGTCAGATCGTATTAAAAAATTAAAACGTGATCTTCAAATAATTAGGTCAAAATCATGAAATAACAAATTATATTTTCTGTTATAATTAGTGGGATATTTGATTTAATAATTCTTCTTAATCTATTATGTTTTCGATTAAATTTTGTATTAATAATAATATTAAATGTAATAATTTTTATAAACATACATAAAAATACAATGTTTTTGAAAATCGCTTAATTTAATTTTTTAAAAGTACTGATCTGATGATATTGGACTCCCTCATTGCAAAAGTTAGAAAATTTAAATCGCATTTACTATTTTATATGTTAAAAATTAAAAGTTATTTTCAGTCGTTAACAGAGCCTGAAATTTATGAACATGTAATTAATTTTCACTAGCAGAGGGTCCTGCCTTGACAATCCGGCACCGTTTACAGTCAACAAAAGCCGGTCAAAACAGGCTAAAAAATCTAACGTATTGCCTTTCTCCACAGTCGGTCGCCAAGGGCAAAACAGTTGGGCCACCGAAACGGCGCCGTTTGTCTGCCTTAATTGTCCCGAAGACCAAAACCGTGGAGAGGTGGGGCCCATTTTACGTGGAGTTCACAGTAAACGCGTGGGTCCCACCAACATGGCAACAAACAACAAGACGCACACAACCTTGCATCGTTTACGAATCTTCTCGCCAGTTGCCAATACAAAAAATGGAAATGGAAAAAAAAAAAAAAAGAAATTTAAATCGGCGACTATTTGATTCAAACTCGGCGTCTCTCTGAATTTCACGGTTTTACCCAGTTTAAATCGTATGTCAACGCACACGCTCCCTCCACTCGGCTCTTTACTTTACTTTTACTCGTCCCGTTAACTCCGTCAAATCTTCTATCGTATAAGGAATTGCCACATGGGCAACCCCAACTCACGGCGTTAACCAAGCGACATGTGCCTTAAAAGAGCCCCATCTTTTTGATCTCCCTTATCAACATCTCTCTCTCTCTCTCTCTCTCTCTCTCTCAAGCATTTTTCTCAGTTGGATTGGAAACTGAGTCAACTCGTTAGATCCCCGAACATGTCTTCGCCGACAAGTTCCACGACGTCCTACTGGTGTTACAGCTGCACTCGTTTCGTCCGTGCCTGGCCACAAGACAACGGCGCCTACGTCTCCTGCCCGTACTGCGACGGCGGATTCATCGAGGAGATCGAGGCCGCTCCGAGATCCGATGATCACGGCCGTCGTTTCCCTTTGCGGCACGATTCTCACCGCAGTACGGATCTCGGTTCAAGGCGGTCTCGTCGGGGTGCCGGCGACAGGTCTCCGTTCAATCCAGTGGTTGTCCTGCGTGGACCCTCCGATGGCGAAGATAATACGTTCGAGCTTTACTACGATGACGGTTCCGGATCCGGACTCAGACCGTTACCCGCTTCCATCTCGGAGTTTCTTATGGGTTCGGGTTTCGATCGCTTGCTCGAGCAGTTAGCGCAGATCGAGGTAACCGGTTTCGGGCGACCCGAGAACCCGCCGGCTTCTAAAGCAGCCATCGAGTCGATGCCAAGAATAGAAATCTCGGACAGCCACGTCGGCGCCGATTTACATTGCGCCATTTGCACGGAGGCCTTCGAGATGGGAGTGGAGGCGCGTGAGATGCCCTGCAAGCACATATACCACGGAGACTGCATACTCCCATGGCTGGCGATGAGAAATTCATGCCCCGTTTGCCGCCACGAGCTTCCTACTGATTCCAACTTGGCGGAGCGAGAAGAAGAAGAGACAGTAGGTCTCACAATATGGAGATTACCAGGCGGTGGTTTCGCCGTCGGAAGATTTAACGGCGCGAGAAGAGAAGGCGAGAGGGTGTTACCAGTTGTGTTTACAGAGATGGATGGTGGGTTCGGTGCCACCGGCGGTCCAAGGAGGGTGTCGTGGGTGGCGAGGAGGATCGGAAGAAGAGAAAGAACCGGTGGCCCTGGTGGGCTCCGAAGGGTGGTTCGTGGGTTCGTTTCGTTTTTAAGGAGATTAAGATCAAATCGTGAATCTCCTTCAAGATCAATTCGTGGAAGTTTATCCGAGTCTGTCAGCAGGAGTTTCAGCAGCAACTCGAGCTCTGTTGTTGGAAGGTACTTGAGGAGCGGCAGTAACAGAGCCAGTGTTTTGGAATGAGAACATTAATTTGGAATAGAGGAAGAAAATGAATCAATCAGATTAGTTGAAATTATTTATTTATAACCAATGTAAATAGAAGCAAAAAAACTAAAATTTGATTTTGAATCCTTGATTTGGGTTAATTAGTTTATAAATATTTGCAGCAAAAAATAGAAAAAAGTTTCAATTTTTATTTTTTGGGGTTTTGGGAGAAGGGGGAATATGTGTATAATAAGTAGAGAGTTGTTGGCGTATTATGGAAAACTTCATTTTCCATCTTCATCAATATATGGAATTCTGTTTCCAAATTTCCATGTGAAGAAACTTGGTTGGTTGTTTCTTGTCCCATGATAATTCTTCCTTCCTTTCTTTTTGTTATTGGGTATTTGCTGATTCTGTATTCTAAAAAATTAGGACGACATCAAACCAAAATACTAAGTCAGCAATAGCTCGTTATGGTAGAAGAGGTAATGGGGTGTTTTGGTTGAATTTGAAGAATAGGGTCTGTGTGGTAAGGTGTTTCCAAACTTCCAACTAAGAGCATGTGCTTAGTTTTCAGATGCAGGGAAGCCTTTCAATACGTGACTAATTCTGAGCTCATTGACTGCTTAATTGGTGCTCAACTACCCTACCCCAAAGCCAAATTTGCTGGCTCTAGTGGGGGTTCGATCACTTATCACCACTTCACACTCATAAACTTGAAAATTAATTTATTCCAAAGTTAAAAAAAAATTTGGTTTCACTTCAAAAATAATATTTTTATATTTACTACATACTGTTTGATTTAATCTTAAAATATTAAACACGATCTTGAAATTACATTACATTTTAAGATATGATTGAAATTTGGAAAAAGGCAGGTAATATCCCTGGAGAAATGGTACAAGATGAAAACTTCATTCCAACGCATGTCTTATCTTTTTGTAAGTAATAATTATCGTTTTCTCTTGTAAAATTTAGGTTTAAATAAATCATTTGGGGTCGGGCATAAAAGTGAAGTTACAGATATACAACTAGGCCAAATAATTATACACCGTGGATATCTAAAATTTAATTTCTTTTTTTTTTTTTTTATAACTAAAGTTAAAAATAATTAATTACAAAATAAATTCCCATTATAAAAAACAAATTTCAATTAATTAATTTAATAATAAATTATGGAGCTGAAGTGGTAATGCATTATTAGGTGAGTCACTGCGACGTGTTTAAAGGTTAACAAAACTTTGTGAATGCTACAGAGAGCCCAATACAGGGATTAATTAATTCCACCGACCAAACATGGCAATTTCTAGTGTTATCCAGTTCATTATTTTTCACAACCCATCAAAAAAAAAAAATGCTAATTTAAAAAGATAAATAGACTTATTATTTTCTATAGAAATTATTGATCACACGTTATAATTATTATGCTAATTATGTATGAATTAAAAACAGAAGATGTTAATTTTAATTTAATAATTTTTTTTTAAAAATAAATTAGAAGTTGAAAATGACAATTAGCACACACATTTATTTAAATATAAATGTTTTAATATTTAATTTTAATTATAAATTGATAAAATTATTATTATATTATTTTAAAAAATATATATGCATGAATTATGTTATAGGAAAAAAATATAAATCGAGATAAAACAAAATTTTAAAAACATTAAAATTTAGAAACAACAATTTTATAATTTTATAAAATAAGGGTGGGATAATCAGCGCAACGCTGTAAGATCCAACGGCTCATATAATGCGATCCAGCTTTCCACGCTGGCAAACAAGTCGTGTCAACTCTCAGGCTTCAATGATGTTGACGTGGCAGTTCCAGAGCTCTCTTCCATGTTCTAAACAATTATTTTATTATTTTAATTAAAAAAAAAACGAGAAACCAGACACTTATTTTCGGACCAGACAAGGGAGAAGGAGTGAAACAGATTCTTTGTTCGATCCAGACATGCAATTCTCTTGATCTATATTCTCTGTTTGAGAAGCTGACGTCGTATTCTCTCCGGACATTGTTGTTTCTTTCCTTGATCTATCCGCTAGTAAGTTCCCCTTCTTGTTTCTCTGCATTTTATATCGTGTTTGGTTACTGGGAAAGTTCCTGGGAAATGGAAGAAAAGGAAAAATCCTTTTCCTATTCGACTTTAATTTCCATCGTTTCTTACATGCACATGTGCCGATTTTTGTTATTAATTAAGAATTTCAGATAAGATTCTTAGCTGGGTTATCTTTCGAAGAAGATATTAATTTCCGCTTGTTTTTTTTCTTTCTTTCTAAAGATTGTTGCTTTAATTAGGGCTTGAATTCAAGTTCTACACACATATATATATATGTGTGTGTATATATGGGTTTGATTTATTTCGAAGTCAGCCTATTCGTTACAGGCGATGTGGGTATTATATAGACATACATGTTTCGCACTTATAATGCAATAATAGTATGTAATAGGAGACAGTCGGAATATATTAAACTGGGGGTCTGGTTATAAATTATGATATATGAACTGTGTATTTACGGATATATAATACTGATTGTATTGGTTGACTTCGAATAATTAGACCTTAATTTTTAATAATTGGTTGAATTGTCTTCGTTCCATGAATTATTTTTTTATGATATAGTACTAATTAGTGTGAAGAGGGAGCGAATTGTTTATTTCTTGCTTTACTGAATTCTATCAGGTCAAAGGTTTGAAAGTTGCAAACTTTGATTTAATCCGAAACTTAAAGCTGCAGATTCAACTATTTGTGAATCTCTGGCCGTGTAAATTTTTTTAAATTTGAGGGGAGTACTAGTCTTTCCGTGTATGAACACGCTTGGCCCGATTAATGTATTAGTGAGATTAGGTTTTACTTTTACCTCGGCAATCTGGTTACAGTTTTAGTGGTATGGTTGAAGAAATAAGATTTAAGCAAATTGTAATTGTATTGTGCGGGGTAATAAATGAAACTGTCAACTCATGCTTAACATTCGGAATTCTTGGGCTTTAGGAATTCTTGAGCTATAAGTAATGTGCGTAAGTACTTTCAATTATGTTTTATGCAAAACTAGATTCATCTCTGTTTATTGGTATTCGGCGTAAGGTATTACTTTTATCAACTGAAGTGCTAGGTGTTGAATCGATATGATTTTGTTGCTTGAAATCTAAAGTTTCTGCTGATTTTTGGTTTTTCACAAATTTGTCACATTTCTGTAGAATTTCACTGTGAAAGAGAGCAATGAAAGTGGATTAAATTGTGCATGGAAATAGTCACAGAGGATTACATTCTGAAACATCAGAAATTATTTTCTTTTAGCTCTGGGAGATGATCATATTGGCTTGTATGGTGTTATACATGCTGAAATTTCGTAGGATTTGAGGGTCCCAAAGACATTGAAGAAGGGTTGTCTTCAAGCTTTCTTATAAATACTAGATAGTGGTATCTTTCTTGTATATATACTAGTTTATATAATATATTAATTTAGTCCATTAATACATTATATTTTTTTATACATTTTACATAGGATTTGAAGGTTCCAGAGATATTGAAGGAGGGTTGTCTTCAAGCTTCCTTGTATATACTAGACAGTGGAATCTTTGGATATTTTGAAACATGAGTTTTGTGTTCCGAGGGACTAGAGGGGATATCGAAAGTGGATTTCCTGGCTTCATTGCTGAACGACCTGCTGTGGTATGTCTACTCATATGTGGTTTTTGAAGATTATGTTTGGGTCTAACCCGAAAACTTTCTGAAGATTGACCTTATATAGAATTTTACATGGAATTAGAATGAAGAATTCTAAATTGATGGAACTTGGAATGAATTGTTCTTTTCCTTCTTCCTTTCAGCGCATTCATCCACCACGGCCAGTTAATACAAATTCAATGGCTTTTCTCGTAACAGGTAATGTTTCGGCTTCTGACTATTTTCTCAGAATTCATTTTAACTAAGTACCTCTTATTGTAATTATATCTGTATCGTAACGTTTCTTCAGCAGTTCTTCTACTGTTCATGATTTTAAACTCGCATCAGATGTCTCCAAACTTTCTGGTAAGTACTTATGAGCATTAAATAGCAATATGCTAGTTTCCGAGTTTTTAAGAGTTACTGAGGTTTCCTGTGCGTTGTGCCTTTCAGCTTTGGTTAGTGGTTGGCGTCTTCTTGCTAGCCACTAGCCTGAGAATGTACGCAACTTGTCAACAACTTCGAGCTCAGGCCAGAGCTCATGCTGCAGCAGCCAGTGGCTTTCTTGGCCGTACTGAATTGCGTTTGCACATGCCACCATCAATAGCTTTAGCTACGAGGGGGCGGTTGCAGGGCTTAAGACTCCAACTTGCACTGCTCGACCGTGAATTTGATGAACTAGGTATTCCTTATCTTGTCCCTATTTTAGCAGTGTTATTACTTTTTGTCATATGATTTAGAAGGTTGATGTACTTGTTGTCAAACAGGTAGTGTTTAATAGAGTTACATTTTAAGATTGGTTAGATGGTACATTGCAAAACTAATGTATCTTGTCCTCTTTTTGACATTCGTGACCGTATATCGAGTCAGGACAATCGAATGTTGAGGGACGGGTTCGTGTACTATTCCAATGTTCGAAAATTTATGCCTAGGTCCTGGTAATGCTCCCAGGATCTCAAAATGCTCAAGGATCAAGGACACCAAGGATATTTACGCCTAGGTCTTGGGGTCCTGAGGACGTGCTCTGATCCCCGGTTCATGTTTGGAGTCTCAGGAACATGCGCTGGGTCTTGAGGACGAGCTCGAGCTTGAGCTTGGGTCTTTTAAGGCACAATTTTGAGGGGGGGGGGGGGGGAGTAGTTCTATTTCATTTAGGTAAAGCTTTTGTCCAGAAGTATTTCATGATACACGCACTTGTTTAATTTCATGTTTTAAATTACGAAACATATGAGTATATGGTGTCACTTTTACTATATCAACCTGGTAGAAAACTGCAAACAAAAAGTTACTTACAACGTTTTGTTTTGATTTAATGCAGATTATGATGCCTTGAGAACATTGGACGCGGATAATGCTTCCTCGATTCCTTCAATGAGTGAAGATGAGATAAATGCCTTACCTGTTCACAAGTATAAAGTCCCGTGCCCAGAAACGTGAGTTTGAGTGTTTTCTCGAACATGTTGTATTTCATCTTGTTTTTGGGTGACTCAATTTGTGATAGGTTTTGTTGTAGCAGATTCAATTGATCTGAGTTGGTTGTTTATCATCTGGTTGTTCTTCTTGTATCAGCAGGGGGAGCTCGGTGCAGCAACAGGTGTCATCTTCTACAACCTCGGCAGATCAGGTACGCTTACCTCAAAGTTTAATTACATTATCTTTTCGGTTAACTCTTTCATGGATGGTAACTAATACTCCCGATTTGGATTTCCAATTTCTCAATCGGATCAGACAAGGCAAGATGCTAAACTGGCAGATGAGCGTCCAAAGGTTTTGGAAGATGAATTGACATGCACGATTTGCTTGGAGCAAGTCAACCTCGGGGAGCTTGTTCGTAGCTTACCCTGTTTGCATCAGGTTCGTCCTCCCACACTTTAACTCGTAGCTCTAATTAATGTTTCAAAGCTATAATTTTGAACAAATTCAGAATGGTGCAAACATAATCTTTGTTTGAATTTGGATGGCGACACAGTTTTGGATTTATGTTGTGTTAAAATTTATAAATTGGTGCAGTTTCATGCGAATTGCATCGATCCATGGCTGCGGCAACGAGGGACATGCCCTGTATGTAAATTTAGAGCCGGTGCAGGGTGGCAGGAAAGCAGAGAGAGTGTCTCAGATGATTCAGACATGGCTTGATGACATTCCTCGATGTATACATATGTATCACGGAAACGAATATTATTATATATATGTATATATTTGCTTGCAAATTGATAATGCCATTAAGTTAATCCACGCAGGAGAGACTCCTATGCAAATTATAATCTCAAACTTTAAATATACATTAAAAATAAACTACAAATCTTATTTATTCATTTTTTAAAAATATATTTACTTAAATTTAACATTAAGAAATTAAAATGTTTGAAGTGATCAAAGTATATATATCTCCAATTCTAATTGATAAACAGTTAAGAATATAATCTCATTACAATTTTGTCAACCATATTATTAAAATTAATAGAGCATTAATTGATTGATTAGTCGGTATTATCAAACTTTTTTTCAGAATATTAGCTTAGTTAATTAATTATAAACAAAATTAAAAAGAGTTGTTATCTGGTTAAACCTGGTCGGCCTGCAACCTTGTTTAACCCATGGCCAGCTGGTCAGCCTGCAACCTTGGTTAACTTATGGCCAATGACTTCTGCGGTACATTACAGCTTCCAATTAATGGCAAATATTTGTACTACCTATTTGCACAACGTAAGTCTGAAGTCAAAATCTGTACTACAAAACATTACACAACACGTACTATCCAGTTTCTAATTGTGATCAACAACAACAACTTGATTTATCAATCAAACTTCTTCAACAACCCAGAAAGAGAAAACCTTCATCCATGGCTTTTCTTCTTCCTTCCCTCCTCAAAACCCTAACAACGACCTTCCTCCTCGTATCCCTCCTCCTATTACAAACTTCCCTGATCACCGCCCACGGCGGAGGAAACGATGACCATGATTCCACCGAAGCTGATGGGCACGTGGACTTGCACGAGAAGAGCTTGATATTGGTCAAAGTATGGTGCTTGATAATCCTTCTCGTCAGCACGTTCGCCGCCGGCGTCTCTCCCTACTTTTACAGATGGAACGATGCTTTTCTTCTCCTGGGAACGCAGTTCGCCGGCGGGGTTTTCTTGGCCACGTCGCTGATTCATTTCTTGAGCGATTCTAACGAGACTTTCACTGATCTGGTGACCGATAAGGATTACCCATTTGCCTTCATGTTGGCCTCGGCCGGTTATTTGCTCACAATGCTAGGCGACTGCGTCGTGGATCTTCTGGTCAAAGGTGGCGGTGGAGCAAGGGAGGTGGGGGCGGCAAGAGTGGAAGTAGAAGAAAGTGGTGTCCGGAAAGAGATGGGTGCCGTTGATGATCACAATGGTTTTTTGTTGAGGACGACGAGTTTAGGCGACACCATTTTGCTGATCATTGCCTTATGTTTTCACTCGGTTTTTGAGGGGATCGCCATTGGAGTTTCAGGTAGCAAATCAGAGGCATGGAGGAACTTATGGACAATTTCTCTGCACAAGATATTTGCAGCCATCGCCATGGGAATTGCTCTTCTGAAGATGCTACCGAAAAGGCCACTCCTGCTAACATCGGCTTACTCATTTGCATTTGCAGTGTCAAGTCCCATCGGAGTAGGTATAGGTATCGCAATTGACGCCACCACAGAAGGCGCCGCCGCCGACTGGACTTACGCAATTTCAATGGGATTGGCCTGTGGAGTTTTTATATACGTTGCAATCAACCATTTGATTTCTAAAGGTTTTAAACCCCAATCTGAATGTAAATTTGATACGCCGTTCTTTAAGTTTCTTGCTGTGCTTCTTGGAGTTGCTGTAATTGCTGTTGTTATGATTTGGGATTGAATTGATTTTACTTGTTAAATATTAATTAATGGATTAAATTATAAATTAATCCATTAATTAAGTGCATAATGGTTTTAATTATGTTCTATTTAGTATTTTCGATAATTATAACTTAATCATCGTTACTTTTCTTTTCTTTCTCTACTAGAGTTTGTAAGTTTGAATGAAATTGTATTTTCTTACATGTCATAATTTGGAGATATTCATGTAATCATATGATAGTATTTATATATTATTTATTTAATAAATGTATATTTATTTAACTCAAAAAAGAAAAAAACCTTAAAAAGGCTTATAATTTACTTTTTTTCTGTCTTATTTTTATGATTTATTTTTTCCAGGAATGTCTTATTGCAAATACAATACATGTGTTTCTTATTTAATTATTTTATTTTTTTCTTCCGCAAATATAGTACATGTATACATACATTAATATCTATATACAGTTCTTTTATTAGTTTAAGTGAAAATTTAAACTGTGTCATGCATACTTATTAAAATTCAAATTTCCTGGCATAAATATTATGCTATTTATATATATAGATATGCATATCATAATTCGTAATTTAATTGAACCAAAACCATGGTTATTTTTCATTAATGTTATGATTAAAATATTTTTATTAATTTAATTCGTAATTACTGTTTTAGAATCTGTCACTCTACTTGTAATGATACTAGAAATATTTTTTAAAAATAAATAATAATTAAAATGTAGAAATGAAATAAACGTTCAAAGTTTACATTTCTTACACAATAACTTAAAATACCAATTAGTGTTTTAGAATTCACATTTAAAAAAAAAATACAAAGAAATAAGGAAATGAACGAAAAATAAAGAAAACTAGCATTCTACTCGCAACTCTCTAGCAGATCGAGTTCTGGATCCTAGTTCTCTTGATCTAAAATGGTTAAATAAAAGATGAGTTACACTACCTCAGTAAGAATATTACATTATATTATCGACACAGAAATGAAGGTTGGTAGAAAATTAAAATAACTAATGGAACACTTAATTTAACATAATACATTTATTAAAAATAAAACTATTTACCATTCACTTATTACAATGAGATTTATAAAAACAATCTATAGAGACAATAACATAGTACTTATCATGATTTTGTATGCAAATGATAACAGACACATTATAAATCCATATTTAATAAATCAAACAATAACCTTTCATTCTATCAGCTTACTAGTATCAAGAGGTTTCATATGGACGTCCCTACTGCACGTCAAGCATTTCCTTCAACATTCTCAATTATGACCGTCTCATACCCCGTCCGGTACGAACGCCAAATTACCAAGTCTCGATACTCCGTC